GAGCGTACAGAAGTCGCCAACTACCCGGGATGTCCTTCTGACCTAAGTCTTCTTGGATTTATATACAATGCCAGTGGAAGTCCAATTAATGAGTTGTCGCCAGGCAGATTTCTTTCTTGGGAGATTTTCTAGGGATGCTGGACATATGTTGGTGATACCTAGGAGAGTGGCTGTCTGGAATCTTTGGTATTGGAAGGTTGGGCAAGATTGTATATAGCAATCCTCCCACTAACCTTTCTAAGTATTAGCTCTTGACTCCCTTTACCCACCATGATTATCATAACTATTGTGAATCTTGTCAATAACATAAACTATTTCACGATAAAACGTAACCATAAAATTGAAAGTTTGAGTGGCCGTGACAATAACTCTTCTGAAACAGCGAACAAGGTGAACGTAATATTTACACAACTGTCATTGTGGGTCGAAATGAAGGTTTTGGTCGAAATAGGGACATAATAAACTCATGGACAACATTTAAGGTAGGTTCATATTTTCATGTCACCGGTCATTTCGACAGAGGCAATTTTTTTCACACTTGGTTATCTCGTGTGTCTTCAATGAAAGTCACTGTAATATCTTTCAGAGTTATTGTCTGAATCCCGATATACATGCTAAAATGTACAACTTCCTTAAGTTTTGTCCATGAGTGTATACACACTTGGTTATCTTGTGTGTCTTCAATAAAGGTCATGGTAATATCTTTCAGAGTTATTGTCTGAATCCCGATATACATGGTAAAAGTTACAACGTCTTTAAGTTTTATCTATGAGTGCGTATCAAGTCTTGAGATGTATACACTCCTTTATAACTGGTATATGAAATTTGTCTAATTCACATAGATGCGCTGCTTCCTTTTGTAAATATAATATATGTCTATAAATTTATATTAGATAATAAAAAGGCATATATTGGATTGAATAAAAGATTTATTTGCTAATATTTCGGTTGGCTGAACGCCAACCTTTATCAAGACATATTTTTTTTACATTCTATGTACCTCTTCAGAGAGACCTCATACCACGTGCTATTCTATGCTACTAAAACATTTATGATAAATTTACTGGCAATGCACTTCTTTTAAATATCATCAAATATTATCTCTACAGACCTTACTGCAATGATATTTAAAAGAAACGCATTGCCAGTAAATTTATTAGTGTAAAATTTTAACGATAGATGGCAATTAAATTTAATTTATGATAGTTTATCTAGTTAAGAAAAAAGCTTCACTCCTAATCGCGTAACTGAACGTTTCTGATGGCTTACTCCATCTATCGGAATAACTGCCAATTATTCATCGATTTATTTTAATTAAAGAATATTATCAAAATTCCAAATTATTAAAGACGCGTATGTTATATATAATAATAATTTCGAATTTTGATAACAGATGGCGCGCTAATGCAATAACGCGCCATCTATACACATAAAATGAAAGGATTTAAAAGCACGAATGTTTCTTTTATACATAATACAAACTTCTACTGACCTTACTGCGATGAAAAAATATAATGGGAGGGTTTGGCTTATCAGTGGTGAACCCTCCCAGCGGTTTCGCCAATTTAATCCACCAGACCGCTTCTAAGAGTTCTAATACTGTATTGGACGATTTTGCTTATATACGCAGCACTGAAGGATGGAATCTCAGAAATGGTTTTCAAGAAAACTATGAACATAATCTTATAGGACAGTCGAATTACATTCAAATATTTGCATCGAGCAATGCTCTTCCGCAAACATATTTTTTCCTGATAAATCAAGAAGAACCAACAAAGTTGGCGTTTCAGGCTGTTAGCCCTTGTCAACGTAGTGCAGGCCGTATCCCAATGGCTAAAGAAAGGAGGTCCTATATAGAAATTTACTTTAATAACCCATGGAAGGAGTATTTGTGAGACATAACGATCGTGAGAAAGTTAAACTCATATTCCATCCATTGTTTGAATTAACTGTGGATCAATTTTACATATCTACAGATATTCCCATAGACGTAGATATGTAAAAATGTATTAGAAGGAAAAAAAGAGAACTTGATATTAATAGAACTTGGGATAAAAGAGGGGGAAACAAACCCTTAAAATATTTTACTTTTTTTCCACATACAGATACAGGTCTATCTCGTTTTTTAAATAGATTTTTTTTCCTTTTCATTTTTGCATATTAGTTTAATTGAATTCTCTCGTTTTATAATACATTTTAAATTGTAAATAATTTTTTTTTCTGTTAAGTAATATATACTCCTAACTTAAAAAAATCTTTAAACACAATAATATTCGCTTAATCTTATATTTAAAAAAGATTCGTCTATATAATTATTTACAATTTTAAGTTTAAAAGAATTGTCAAAAGTCAAATTTTAAAAATAAAATCTTTACTTTTTCGATATCAGTATATAATATCAAGTAACTTAATTCCTATGATAATACTTTTGTTTTAATTATAAAATTTTAATTCACAAATCACAATTCACATAGATTTCGGGCATGAAAGCTAGCGATATTTGTAAATTATAATTTTCCAAAAAAAAAACCACGCATATCTTCGGAAGCTTTGATATTTTTACCTTATATTGATTATTATATTGCTACAAAGGTTTATTTTATCGAGCACATTATGTTGCTAATAAATTACAAATTAATATTGAGAGATATCTTGTTAATTATATGAGAGGGTTGATTTATTCAAGGAAACAGGTTGGTGGGAATGGATCCTTAATGATGTCAATGTGAAAAAGATAATAAAAAAGAACGATCACAGAGTCTGGCTGCCATAAAATAACTTTTGACCGATGACCAGCTAAGATGACCTCTAGGGCGTGGCGCAGTGGGTCAGCACCTCAATGTCACGATCTGTTTGTCCTACTACTGAATCTTTCTATATATATATATATGTAGTATAGGTAGTTCAACTACTTATTTTGTCCGTGTTCATCGTTGTTACATATAGGGAAAATGTGTAATATAATTCTTGTTACATATAGGAAATCTATGTAAAATAATCCTTGTTACATATAGGTAGTTCAACTACTTATTTTGTCCATGTTCATCGTTGTTACATATAGGAAATCTATTTAAAATAATCCTTGTTACATATAGGTAGTTCAACTACTTATTTTGTCCATGTTCATCGTTGTTACATATAGGAAATCTATGTAAAATAATCCTTGTAACATATAGGTAGTTCAACTACTTATTTTGTCCATGTTCATCGTTGTTACATATAGGAAATCTATGTAAAATAATCCTTGTTACATATAGGTAGTTCAACTACTTATTTTGTCCATTTTCATCGTTGTTACATATAGGAAATCTATGTAAAATAATCCTTGTTACATATAGGCAGTTCAACTACTTATTTTGTCCATGTTCATCGTTGTTACATATAGGAAATCTATGTAAAATAATCCTTGTTACATATAGGCAGTTCAACTACTTATTTTGTCCATGTTCATCGTTGTTACATATAGGAAATCTATGTAAAATAATCCTTGTTACATATAGGTAGTTCAACTACTTATTTTGTCCATGTTCATCGTTGTTACATATAGGAAATCTATGTAAAATAATCCTTGTTACATATAGGCAGTTCAACTACTTATTTTGTCCATGTTCATCGTTGTTACATATAGGAAATCTATGTAAAATAATCCTTGTTACATATAGGCAGTTCAACTACTTATTTTGTCCATGTTCATCGTTGTTACATATAGGAAATCTATGTAAAATAATCCTTGTTACATATAGGCAGTTCAACTACTTATTTTGTCCATGTTCATCGTTGTTACATATAGGAAATCTATGTAAAATAATCCTTGTTACATATAGGTAGTTCAACTACTTATTTTGTCCATGTTCATCGTTGTTACATATAGGAAATCTATGTAAAATAATCCTTGTTACATATAGGCAGTTCAACTACTTATTTTGTCCATGTTCATCGTTGTTACATATAGGAAATCTATGTAAAATAATCCTTGTTACATATAGGCAGTTCAACTACTTATTTTGTCCATGTTCATCGTTGTTACATATAGGAAATCTATGTAAAATAATCCTTGTTACATATAGGCAGTTCAACTACTTATTTTGTCCATGTTCATCGTTGTTACATATAGGAAATCTATGTAAAATAATCCATGTTACATATAGGCAGTTCAACTACTTATTTTGTCCATGTTCATCGTTGTTACATATAGGAAATCTATGTAAAATAATCCTTGTTACATATATAGGTAGTTCAACTACTTATTTTGTCCGTAAACGTTCATCTCTGACTTAATAATATCAATAAGCAATCGTTGTTACATATAGGAAATCCATGTTCATCCTTGTTACATATAGGGAATATATGTAAATATATAATCCCCCTTGTTATATAAAGGACGTATATATGTAATAGAATTGACAGTAGTTCCTCCATTCGTCTTTGGTATTCTTCTAACAGCGGATCCACTGCAGACATTGGTTGCTTAACTACACTCTCCAAACAGATTGAACCACCTACACCCTGAGATTAGGTAACAATAAAAAAACACAAAACTCAAGTTAAGACACCGGATCTGATGGTCTAAAAATTCACCCAGCGGAGACTCGTTACAGTAGAAAGAGGTCAATTGAGATTTTAGCTTCAAATCCTTGCCGCCAAGTGTTGTTACTTCAGAAGATTTCCTTTGGAATGTTTTCATTCTTTCAACTTAACACTAGATTAAACTGGCGAAACCGCTGGAAGGGTTCACCACTGATGAGCTAGGCTCTTCCATTATTATTTTTTTATTGCAGTAAGGAGGCAGTATAGAGAGAGAGAAAGAGTGACAAAATTGTTTATAAAAAAAAAATAATAAAAAAAAAACATAAAACGAAAATTGCAATTATACCGCGAATGTTTCTTTTAAACAAAAATCGAAATTTATTTTAAAGAGAAATAACGACCATTTCTAACTTTAAGGATGAAGTATGAAAGGGTGAAAATATGAAGAGTAATGGCGAACGGAAAAATAAAAGTGTCCAGGGGCGGGAATCGAACCCACGACCTTCCGCTTACCGGGCAGATACCATGTCCATGGGCAGAAACATACCTGTCAAAATGGTTTAAATTTATTATAACTTATTATAATTTATTATAAATTTATTATGGATGTTTGGCGCGTTAAAGCATATTATTATTTACAAATTAACTGAATATGAAAGGTAAAGAAGTTCAAGTATCAGATTATTTTGAAGCAAATATTACTTTAAAAGCAAAAAATACTATATTTAGGATAATAACTACTGATTTTGAAGAAAATTAATAAATGAATCTTTCTTTTTTTTCTTTTCATTATTAATAAGTAAAACTTTCTTCATATTTTATAATAATTTTAATTTTAAAATGTGAAATATAAAATTGACTTCAGAGGTAGCGTGGCCGAGCGGTCTAAGGCGATGGTTTAAGGCACCAGTCTTTTCGGAGGCGTGGGTTCGAATCCCACCGCTGCCACTTTTTTTTTTTTTTTTTTACAAACTCTTTAGTATATATGATCGATTGAGGAAAAGATTGGTTGTAATTTTTAAATACAGTAGAACTACCTCCCTGTAAAGGACAACACCTAATTGCAGAGCCAAAGTGTCTTTTAGGGAGAGGTGTCCTATTACCAGAGAGTTGCTTAATGCTAAAAATGGTAATTTTGCAAATGGAAACTCTTCATTGTATTTCATTGTATGGAGGTTCTACTGTATTTGTTTGTTTGATATCGTAAAATGGATACTCCCCTCCTTTCGGTATGACAAGATATATGAAAGAGAGCTCTTCTGGTTGTGTCCGCGAGCGTCTTGTGCCGCTCGTACTTTTGTTTAGAAGTTCTTGTAAGAAATGATATCTCGTACTAAGCTGTATCCAAAACGAATCCACATTGTTTTCTTAGAAACCTTGCACGCAAACATTGACGGCTGAGAAGCGTCGTAACAATATCTTTGAGGAGGTGTGAATTCCACATTTTAAAAATCTTCTATTCATGTAGATAGATATGTATTTTTCCAAGGATTTTCCCGTTTATAGGAGTTCTTAAATGTCACATGTTCCCATTTTCGTCTTTAGATGATTTCAGGAATCGTTCCTAAGACTTTTAAGCCTCGTCAATAAAGCTCCACCAAGATGATCAACCCATAATCTGTTGGGTAGACTTTGATTATCTTGGTCCAGTTGCTGAGAATTATCGGGTAGGGATGGGGGCTATTGAGGTGATTTCTCTTTTGCCTTTCGCATTTATAACTCTTTGACTTATTAGCAGGTTCATCGGTCTTTAGATTCTGTTTCCAACTTCAAATGAATGGCATTCTTCATATCATGGAGTTGGAGACTTATCCTGGTCTCAGCTCAGCCTCCTCCTGACTTATCCATTCTAGGGTGCTGTCTACCCTCCACCACGTGGCAGCGCCACAGAAGGGACCTTGCAGTAAGGCATTTACCACACTCTTCCATTTTTTCTTCTGTCAAATCATATTGACAAACATTTTCAGTTTTGCTTATCAGTTTTTAGCGTGAAGAATGTTGTCTTCGTTCATTAGTGAACCGATCTCTCACGCCTTCTCATTGGACGAATGTGGCCATGTCTGTATATAAGAGGGGACTAAGGGAATGCGTGAAGCCCAGAGCGAGGAGAATTGGTGTGGAGACGCTTAAAGTGTTTTTCTAAGTGATTTTTCCGTGTCTAGGGGATCTCTTCGCATCCCGGGGTGACCCGAGTCCGATCCTTATCAACGCTACAATAAAGATAAGTACTGTTTTGTTTTTATTTTACCAATTGTGAGTTTTATTTACTTCCTTTTTGTTGTTAGTGTTGTACTCTTGAGTGTACGCTGTGTATTAAGTTACATTTACTTTAGGACCTAGTATATTCCATTTTTGTGTGATAACCTGTAATAGTAACTTTTGTCACTTCCATTACTGAAAGTTCGTGAAATCCTCGATAAACTTTCTACATATCGTTTTATCTACGGCTTGTGAAACAAACCTCACAATTGTGGGTTTTTTTCTTTCTTTAAATCACGGCCCACATTTGGCACGCAACGTAAACACAAATCTATGCTAAGTTCCACAGCACTTTGTACACCCACCACCATCCAATACAACACCAATTAAAAAACCATTTCCAAGTCCTGCTTTATTAACCGATTAGGTTTTGGGATTCAAGTTTTTTTAGGTTTGCGCCAGAAGGGAGTACAAGGAAGAAAATAGGGTAAAGTAAAAAGAACGTATATTACAAAAACCTACTGATTTCATCAACTATGATCCGGGTTCGAAGCTCGCTTCGAGAAGCAGCTTAAAAAACAATTCTAATTACTTCATAAGACTTCAACTCTATTTGCATACAAGTCCAGTTCGACCAATGAAAACAACTAACCAAATAAACTTCTGGAAACTCGTAAATGGAACAAAATAAAGCTGCATCTACATACGTAGACGTGTGATATATACTTACACTCACGGACAAAACTTAAGGAATTCTTTGATATCGACGGTCGTCTATTTATTATTATCATTATTTTTTAAATAAAATGAAAGGATTCAAAAGCATGAATGTTTCTTTTATACATAATACAAACTTCTACTGTCCTTACTGCGATGAAAATATTATATTGTATTATGTATAAAAGAAACATTCGTGCTTTTAAATCCTTTCATTTTATATGTATAGATGGCGCGTTATTGCTTTGTGTTAATTCTTTTTTTTTAAAGGAGACAGAGGCAATTTTTTGTTCACACTTAGTTATCTCGTGTGTCTTCAATAAAGATCACTGTAATATCTTTCAGAGTTATTGTCCGAATTCCAATATATATGCTAAAAGGTACAACTTCCTTAAGTTTTGTACATATGAGTATATAGTATAAACATTCACAAACCTATGCCCACCGTGTGATTACCATGGCCTGGTACTACATATGTAGATATGTGGTATACTTAAAGTATAAACAGTCACAACATTGTCCTATCCTCCATGAGTATCATGATGGCCTGTTCTATGTGTACTAGGGGGAAAAAATAGCAGCAAAAGTACTTCATGTTGAGAAATAAGCAACAACCGATTATATGCACATATGCAAAATGAATTTAATTTTTCCACTTATTATATACCAGAACCTCTCTTGTGTTTGATTACTTGCACTTCTCGGTAGCATTGAACATATACAAATATATTGTCGTGATACTCCTGTGGAAGGACTGACAGGTCCGAAAGCTAGAGAATAAAATTTGAGCAAGAAACTTAGCCCTGGAGACTTTATTTTCTTTATAATATACAAATATATACAAAAGGCGGTTGAAAATGTTTAATTAAAATAATAATTAAATAATCCCATGTAACAATATTGAGTAAAATATATCAAGGCCTCCAGGGAAAAATATCTTTTCATCTTTTTCTGGTACAACACTGGAAGCGAGGCATATGAGTTCTTTAATGGTTTTCGATAGAAATAATATGTTGGAATAACAGCCTTGCGTTCTATTCCTCAGAGAGGCCTCATATTTTACTCAAAAACCTAATTTCTTAATTATATCTACAGCAAGATATAAGAATAACCAAACATCTGCAGGAAACTCAACCAACCATTCCCATTTTAATCCTCAATCTATAGATGCCATGTTATGGTAACCTACTTCACTACTGCCCTGGAATGAAGAAGCCATTAGCTACCTAAACTGGACAAAATTATTGAATAAAGAAAGAACAAATTGATAGATGATCATGGGAGCAGAAGACGCTCACGCTAGAATCTCATTGGGCGCATGCGCAATGCAATATCGTCTGACACTTAATTTGCTTCTTCGTCTGCTTGAATATTATTGCAATAAATCTTTTCTTTTTTTATTTATTATTATTCGAATAAATAATTGGTTTTAAGGTATTTTGGCTATACGATTATATATACAATTTATATTTCTAATTAGTTAAATATTTTATGAACACATCGGAGTTATATATATTATTTTATTGGAACCTACATTTATTGGAATCTAATGATTATATACCCTTGTAGAAAATTTGCACAATACCCGAAAGCTTGAGAAGAAAATAAAGCAAGAAACTCATCATCAGAAGCCGTTTTGTTTATCTATTTATATGTATTGCAGAGGATTTTATTTTCCGAAAATATATTAAGGGTTAAAATGCAGAAGATGCGCGTATATTTTTACTAAAGTAAATTACAATCGTTTTTAGTTATCATCAAATAAAAATTAAAGAAGCTAGTCTATTTATTTTTAGATCATTTAAAAATAAATGCGATGAAAGATTTGCAAGGATTTTTAAAGCCAAAAGATAAAAATGGCGGGAAAAACTCCTCCCTTGATGAGGCCTAATTGAGGCGCGCAGAATCATCAAAATTGTATATGCTATCGTTTGGTGATAAATCAAGTTTTTATCTCTGGCAGCCCTTTGTTTTTCAAGCGAACAATAATTACTAGTCAGTAGGCCAGAATGATTTGGTCACGCTGTTGGCAATCTTTCTTTATGAGGTTGTTCGTCTATCCTTTTTAAATGTTTCCAATTTGATTTCAGAATTTTTCTTATTGAAAAAAAAATAGTTAGATAAAATCGCAGAAATATTATAAAAAAAAAAAAACGAAAATATATTTATAAAAAATAATGATCTAAAAATAGAGGATTTTTATTGACTTTTTTTCACAGAATAAGTTTTGGTATATAATTTTCGAATTTAAAAATAAAGGTTGCGGAATTAATTTTATAAAAATAAACTTTTTTTTCTTATAAAAAGTTATATATAATAATTTTACTAATCCATATAGTGCGTGGTTAGGGTTATTTTTTTCTAGATTTTGTATATTTAACTTTTTCTAGGTGGCATCAATATATATTTCCTTTCTTTTTTTGACTTTCTTTGCTCTTAAGAAGGTCCTGGTCTCCAAATAAATCCATACTACTCTATATTGAGTTCTTCTATTTATTCTTTCCTAGTTTTTCATCCTTCGGCCAATCAATATACTCTTTAAAATCATCTTACATTTTAAAAGCATTTTTGGTTAAAATATATTTTTAAAAGTTCTTCTGTAACCATGTAAATAAAATGTCTTTCTACCGACGAAT